TTAACATAAGGGTACCAAAATAACTAATTGCTTTTTAAAGTTGTAAAATTGTATAGTTCATGCAACAAGATATAAACACCAACGTTTTCATACAAGTTTTGTTATCCTTGTTGCTGTTGTAGGAAGGTATAAATAGAGTACACACCCTTTTTGTCGGGGTGCAAGTTGTGTATGGTACAGCTTCCATTGGTACAGTGACCATTTTTTGTCCAAGTAGAAGAGTTCCAGAGCCAGTGCGCATTGCTCTCCTAAAGCCCTTAAATCGCGCATAGGATCTGGATAATCCAACTGGGTAGGTCAGCTGGCAACCATCAAAATACTATAAGAAAATTCTGGAAATGGGCGGGAGAAGCAACGACAGCCACACCCTCCGCACGTCACTCTAAACCCCACCCCTGCCAGGCGCAGGCGCACTCCGGAGTCTCAAGGATCAACTAATACCAAGTACTGAGCAGGTGCAGTTAGAAGAGGGACTGCTTGTATGATTGATTGCTAGTGTTTATCTTTAATGGCTTTTATCATCTGAAGCCGCGCTCAGTTTTATTTTCCCGCTTTCTTGCTGGAACTCACTTTGCTTAAAGTAGGAGTTGCTGTTTAGGGATAAAACTTGATGAAAGTTACCCCTCTGCTGTCAGGGACAGATAGCGTCCTTTGGGCAAACAGTCCTGACAGATGTGAAAAATAAAATCGCATATTATAGCGAACACTTACAGCCTGCCAACTCAGTTACATGGGGGAAAAATCACTTTGAAAAATACGTTACCTTTTCCATACTATGTGCTTCAGAAGACCAGAAGTCGTTTTACTTTCCCGTGCCAGTGAGACTCTACTTCTATTTATTAACAAGGACCTAAACGAGCAGCGCATGCGCCACAGCCACCCTACGGCTGTGGGGCGCGTGAGAGGCTGGGGTACCGACCTACCTTGTGTTCTCTGGTTGTGGCGGAGGCTTCTGGGCTGTGTCGGGGGCCGCCATGGGAAAGGTGAATGTGGCCAAGTTGCGTTACCTGAGCCGGGATGACTTCAGGGTCCTGACCGCGGTAAGCAGCTCTCCGGTTCCCCGGCCCCCTGCCCTTCCCACCGCGCGTCCTCTTCCTGTACTTGGAAGTGAGCTGGGAGCAGGGCGCGCTCTGGCCGGGGAACGCGGCCGACGCTGGGATCGCGACTGGGGAGAAGACCAGGGAGTCGGAGTTTTCAAAAGCCCTTGTTCCGAACCTTTTATCTTACCCGAAATACAGCAGAGGCCCTTCTTCTATTCATGTCTTTCCTTTCTGCCCGCCTTCGCCAGAGCCACACGCATCTCTGTGGCCCGAGAAGCAATTCTGACCCCGGGCTTCCGACCAGCTGAAAAGGGTTTTAAGTCTCGAGGATTAATAGCATGGAGTTCCCCACTCACAGACTTAGTCACATAGCATTCCTTCAGTTTCATTCAATCAACACATGTGTGTCGGATTCTTAGTAACAATTTTAGGGAGTTCAGCGGGTTGCATACAGACAAGGAAGCTAGATCATCAAGGACACGAGTCAGTAAAGAAGAAGGATAACATCAGNACAAGTGAATTGAGAATGACAGTAGGTGAAGCCAATACTATTTCCACCCCTTGATTCTTGGACCTATGTATTCTACCTATTGGGGACTGTATAAAAGTTATTGACCGTATAAAAGTTATTAGAGGTTGGCAACCCAAACTCACAGGGTATTACCCCTGAGCTGACACTTCAGCAGAGCCTCCAACAGGCTGTTCCTTCCATAGACTTTTCCATCCTTTTATCATACCAGCAGTTTCTGAATGGTGTGGTGTGTGATATAAGGGGAACCCATGGTCATATGCATACTGCTGTCCCACCCTGTTAGAACAACCGCTCTATAAGCTTTATGATACTGGTGCAAGCTGAGGCCCTGCAGACAGAAAAAGCAAACCCATGTCTATAATATGTGTATATGTCTATTACTGTCAATACGAATCTCTGGCTCTGGCACTTCTATGATAGAGGGAGCACAACGTAGTCAATTTGACACCAAATGAACAACTAGTCTCTTCAAGGGATGGGAACTCAGCATTGGTGTCTGCAGAAGGCACTAGCCTTGGTAATTTGGAGCTTCCATGTCATCAGGCCCATGCATAGCCTCCTCCATCCCTGCTACTGTGTTTCCCCGAAAATAAGACCAGGTCTTATATTAATTTTTGCACCAAAAGATGCATTTTATTCATTTATTCATGTTCAAAAATCTACATTTATTCAAATACGGTCATGTCTGGCTGATGATCTTAACTGGGGCTTATTACGAGCACCCGGAAAATCATGCTAGGACTTATCTTCTGGTCAGGTCTTATTTTCGGGGAAACCTGGTACCATCACTGATTCATCTGTGCACCACTTATGCCTTCACTGGGGTGGCAGGTTGCAATGACAGAGGTTGGCTGTTGTCAACTAGACAAGGTGTTAGTCTACCTGGTTGTTTACTTCCTTTTCTGTGTTAGATACAAGTATGCAATCCAGGGATCCCCACACTTCTTGTCCACTCTCATATACCCATTCTCATGCCTCAATCTCAGAATTCCTTGTCAATAGTGTAATAAATTTTCTCCTTCCAGGCCCCTGTCCAACCAGCCAAGCTATTCACCTCTGCCCCTGAATCCATGTATATTCTAACCTTGGGCTATTTCTCTTGCTAACAAAGTGAAGGACCAAGTACACTTCCTAAGGCTCTGCCTGTTAGGCGGATATCCTTTGATCACTTCTCCTTCTACACACGTGGAGCAGTAGTTCAACCAAAATATCACCATGACTCATCAGTGAACCAGATGTGGACTTCTTTTCCTATTCTAGTTAATCATAAGAGATCAACCATGGAGGTAAGAGCTGAGGAATTTGGACAACAGTCGTTGATGACATGGGAGTCCAGGCTACCTGCTTATGCAGCTTGTTTTGTGCCTTCTGGCCCTGCTTGTGTTCAGTCTTGAATGTACCACTTTCACCTATGATGGATTGTTGCTGAGTTTACCCAACCTTATAAGATAATTGATCCAACAGAAGAAAATTCATGAAGGATAGTTGTGGCTATAATGTCACTTGGTCCTCAATGTCAGGCACTCCATCTCTCTCAGGGCTCTGCAGTATGCCAGGAGCTGTTTTTTAAAAGGTATATAATTGGGGGCAGCCAGTTAGCTTAGATGGTTAAATCACCGTGCTCATAACACCAAGGTTGCTGGTTCAATCTATTCATGTGCCAAGGAGCTGTGTGCCCCCCCACACACACACACACACCAACACACACACACACAACTAGATTGAAGATAACTACTTGACTTGGAGCTGATGGGTCTTGGAAAAACACTGTTCCCCAATAAAAATCCTTTAAAAATACATACATACATACATACATACATACATACATAAAAAATGCCATATAATTCTCTGCTGCACACTCTACCATGCTCCAGAGTCCTACAAGTCTGCATCATGTCCCTAATTGGAACTTGCTATAAATTCCACACATCCATGTATTCCATACTGTGTCTTTTCCCATCATTGAGACCTCTGAATGCCCTATTGCCCAAATGCAGGAAAGACAATCACAATTTTTCTGAGCTTTAGCTAGTATATCTTAAACATAAATATATCATTTTTATTTTCCTTGACTTTAAATGTTTTTATTTAATCTTCTTCAAATTTTTCCATAATTAGTCTAATTTGTGGGCTAGTGGGGAAAGTTAAAGAGTGGCCAGAATCATTAAAGATAAAGGACTACAGAAGATTAGAAGGAGAGCTTACTTCCTTTTGGGATTATGATAGATTGAATAATGTCCCCACCCACCAAAAGATATTGATGGGTTCTAATCCCTAATATCTATGAATTTACTCTCTCTGGGGTGGGGGGAAAGACTTCACAGATGTGGTTAAGGATCTGGATGGGCCCTAAATGCAATTACATGTATTTTTATAAGACAGAGACAGATGGGGAAACACACAGAAATGGAGGAGGCAATGTGACTATGGAGGCAGAGAATGAAGTGAGGCAACTACAAGCCAAGAAATGCCAGCAGTCACCAAATTTTGGCAGAAGCTGGAAGAATTAAGAAACAGATTCCTCCTTACAGTAGCCTGAGGGAACATGGTCCAGAACTGTAAAAGAATACATTTCTATTGTTTTAAGCTTCCAGGTTTGTAATGATTTGTTACAGCTGCCCTAGGAAACTCATATAGGGATAATAAAACCTTTATGGGGTGCATAGCATTCGAGAATAGTAGGTAGGATTTACATATATGGTGATTGGACAAAAGGAAAAAGAAAAGGAGGGAAGGTGAGCATTACAGATAAAGGAAAAGGGCAGTGAGACAGAAAATCAAGAAAGTTGTACAAAACAGAGTAATTCAATCGTGCAGGAGTATATACTACTTGAAAGTAAGAAATAATACAGATTGTTGAAGATCTTGAATGCTAAACTAAGAAGTTTGAACTTTAAACCAAGAAATTTAAACTTTAATCTATAGACAGTCAAGAGTCTCTGTGAGAACAAGGTGTGTGTGTGTGAGCGTGCACGCGGGGGGGGGGGGGTATGGCAGGAGGAAATAATGTGATAAATCCTTTGCATACCTTTCTTATACTATTTTTTACCTCTTTTTTAAAGATTTTATTGGGAATTGGAGGAGGGGAACAGTGCTGGGGAATCGGGGGAAGGGGAACAGATAAGTTTCAGTCCTTTTGTTCTTCAGTCTAGTTGTGGAGGACGTTGCTTCACTGGCCCATGTTGGTATTATCATTGCGCTCTTCCAGGCTGAGGCAGATCAGTCGCCGGCCACCGGACAGCTGCTCACGCTGGCTGCTGGCTACACACAGTAGCCCATGGCAAACCACTGCAG